TTATCAACTATAGAATGTTAGCCTGAACAGCAGCAGAAAGTGAACTCACGGTGGAACATTCTGGACTTTAGAGATCCTGTCAATCATGTTTTTAAATGAGAAATCTCACTCTTGAATTTTTGACGTTCACTTTATCTTTGGCAACATAACTACAATCTCCCAATAAAATGTCAAAGCGGACACATGGAAAAAAGGACAGTGACGGAGACAAAAGACAAATTAACAGCATGTAACAGATCAAAGTGAATAAAAGAAGACGACGTAATAACAAAGGAGACACATCACAGTCAATACTTGATTTATTTTCCCATCGCACCAACGCTGACCTCCCATTAGAATCAATCACTGTTAAATTAGCGCCGTGTTTAGAAGCGTCAGAGCCGGGCGTTAAGTGTCGAGTGAATAACAATGGAAATCTAACAAAAAACGGCAATTTGGCAAAGTTGTTTAGGCCTCGCTGTTAAAAGTGGAGACCAGGAGAAGACGATGACGAGACTGACAGTCGAAGATGAGCTCCAAAATTAACTTCACTTGGTCTGAACTCTCCCGAAAGAAGAAGAAGAAGAAGAAGAAAAAGTCTTTAGAAATCGGGCCTGGGAGAAGCTCCGAGTTTTATTTCCGTTACTGTCATTTAATCAATACTTTCAAAATGGTCCTGATGTCCAGACGGAGTCGGAGCTGAGATAATTCAGGACAAATTAAATACATTTCTCCGTCTTAACGTTTTGTATTCAGATTCAGAACAGAGGCCTTTATTGATTGGTCGTTTCTCCTGCGTCTCACTCGCGTCCACAGCTCTGCCTCGGCGACCTTGACTGTCATTGAAGATAACGGCTCTAATATGATCTCATGCACGCCTGAACATGCATACAAAACAAACAAGACGACGATGACGACCATGAAAGGTCAAAGGTGTCGCACGTATGGAAACGTGATCGTTATAGAAAAAAAAAAAATTCTGAACAACGAGCCACACCTTATTTCATCCTTTGTGCGACTTTATTAACTTTATTAAAATATATAATTTCACGTTTGTTATTTTCAAACTGACAGCCACTAGAGGGCACTCTGGGCTTGTGTACCAGTATCTGCTCCTGTACCACTGAAAATTTACATGTTTGTGCACTTTACACTGACAGCCACTAGAGGGCGCTCTAGCTGGCTAGTGTGACTTATATTCAGGAGCAACTCATATATGTTTTTTTCTTCATATATTCAGGAGCAATTCATATATTATTTTTTTCTTATTCGTTATGCATTTTTTGGCTGGTGCGACTTATACTCCGGTCCAGGAATCGATTTATCCATTTCACCTTGATTCCGATGAGGAAAATTATTTCAGTTTTTCAAACTTTTCGGTCCCTGACTGCCTTCAGGAACTAATTATGCTAACCTGTGTGTGTGACACGCACCTGTCTTCCCGGTGTTCTTCATGGTGGTCAGGTTGGACGACTGGCTGTTGAATTTGTCCAGCAACAGTTCCTGGTACTCCTCTGAAACCAGAGCCTGTTCGTCTGCGATGCCGATGGGTGATTGATTCTTTGCAGCACATTCTGGATACGAGGCGGCCCAGTCTCGAGGTCCGTGGCTTCCTGTGGAAAACAGAGCACAGAAAGAAAACCTATAAAAATCCAAAGGCGAGGATTTAAAATTAAATACATTCTCGCAGCGTTATGGACACAATGTTATTAAGGTTTTTATGGCCATAATGGATTTGAGGAGAAACTGGACGCTGACCCTTTCATATCCATTCAGATGTACTGCTCTTTAAACCCACTTCGCACCTTGAAAATCACTGAACACAATAAAAATTCATCACACAGCCACGGGCAGTTTCAGCTTCATTTTCCAGGTGCAATACTCAAGAAATCCAGATATTCCCGCAGGGCCACGGTTACTGTAACTACGCTGGCTGTTGGTGGAGGAAGAGTTTGCTCATGTTTACAGAGAGAAAAGAGACAGAAAAACTCCAAACAAACGCACGTTTTCAACCAAAGATAAACCGCCTTCAGCAGCCGAGCGTCCGACAAAACAACGTCCTGTCCAATCCACGTCCTGCGTGCGTTTGAAATCCCCCGTCCGACACATAGTGTAAGTGCTTCTACAAAAAGAACACGTTCAACGGGCGCGGGTTCCTGATCTCTCCTCACGCACAGACGGCCAGCGTGACAACAAAGGCCGAGGGACGAGGGAGAAGAAAGAGGCGTGCGTGTGGATTCCAACTTTTCTGGGTTAACAAAATATTTATGACACAATTCCCAACAGAAA